CCAAGCGGATCAAGGAGTCCATAACCAAGGCCAGGTCGCCTCCTTATGTTCTCCCACGGAATCGAAGTTCGCCAAGCAGCTCGACGAGCACCGTGGCAAATAGGACGTGGGGAGCGCCGCGGAGGGATCTTGAAGGCCATGATCAAAACGCTCATCACTGCCCACCAGCTCTCCGGTGACATGGCGATCAGTGCTGCGGTGACACAGAGCGGGCCGTGAAGAATGCGACGTGCAACCACGACGACTATGTGCTCTCTCAGTGGGTTCTTGGAAGGTTGCCTCACGATGTCACTTCCATTTGTGCAGCCTCTGAGAATGCGAGGCTCAGGGTCAAGACACCGGTGCCGAAGCACCGCCGGCTGTGGCGCAAGCCCCAGCTGAGGATGGCCCCGCCAGGCAAGTGACTCAGCCGGAGCAGGAGCCCCTTGAGGAGATGGATGGCACCCCGAATGCGGCGACACCACCAACGGAAAGCCCGCAGACATCTTCTACATCAAGGGGCCAGCATGCCGCGAGAAGATATGAATTTAGAGACGGATGGTGTCACATCTTTTGCGACGACGCCACCGATCAACAGACATCTTCTACATCGGGGCGCATCCCTTTGACGCCTTTGCAGGAGGCTATGCATCACTCTGTGGATCGTGTGGACGGTCATCTTAGGTCTCGTTCGTCAGGAACACAGCTTCTGGCTCGAATGGACCACTGCCGCCACCTCCTGGACTCATTGCTACAGGAACGCAAGGGCAAGGAGCTCAAGGACCAAGCGAAGAAGATCCTTGCCTTCCTGGGCGCCCGGACGGAGAAGCGCTACCTCAAGAAGACCGTGAATCAGGGGGCCGGACGAGAACTCAACTGCAACAAAGCTGGACCTGAACTGCGAACAGGGCTCGATGAAACACGAGCCAAGGAGTGGAGCAACTGGCAAAAGTACTCGAACATGAAGAAGATCACCAAGGCGGAGTTCGAGGAGATAAAGAAGGCAGATCCCGGACTTCTTCGCGTGATCCCCACGCGCTGGGTTGACATCGACAAGGCCGAGGCGGGGCAACCGCAAAAGCTCAAGAGCCGGGTTTGTTGTTGTTCGAGGTGATCTTGACGATGCCAGTGCGATACGAACGGACACCCCTACGGGAACACAGACCGCCATGGGCAATCCTCCTAAGGAACGCGGCGGCGACCCAACGGCTGATCAAATCAGGTGATATCTCTGCAGCTTTTCTGCAGGGCTCCGAGCTGGACCGGAAGCTTGTGCTCAGCATGCCAGAGGGGTCGCTGCCTGAGAGAACGCAAGAAGATGATCTCGTGATCGTGTCGACGACCGTCTATGGCGCAAAGGACGCACCCCGAGGTTGGTTCAAGAACTTGGGCGCCATGCTAAGGCACGACAACCTCTGCCGCGTACCTATGGAACCCGGCTTCTACGTGATGAGCGGTACCGACAACAACGGCGATACCTACATCAAAGGACTGCTTCTTGTGCACGTCGGCAACTTGCTTTGGGTCGGTGACGAAGACATGGAAGCAGCCATGGGACGGGTCCAGCAGGAGTACCGTTTTGGCTCGCTGGATCAGCGAAACTTCAAGTTGTGCGGTAGCTGGCTGAAACAAGGATCCCAGGAAATTGAGGTCAGCTGCCCAGACCTGATATCCAGAGTCCGGCCTGCGCATCTGGAACCACGCCGAAGGGGACAACGCGAGAACGCCGCGACCGAGAAGGAGAAGTCACAGCTTCGTTCAGTTCAGTTGTTGGCTCGCTGAACTGGCTGTCTCGAGTGTGCCGGCCTGACCTGGCATACTCTGTGTCCAGGTTGCAGGCAGCAGTGAGCCGGCACACCGTGCAGGACCTGATCGACGCGAACAACCTAGTACGTGGCTAAGACGACGGACAAGGGCCTGCTCTACCCGGCAGCAAAGTTGGACTTCTCCGACCTCGTTGTCGTGGCCGTGCAGGACGCCTCCTACGCCGCCGACTACGACCTCAGTGCCTCCGGCAAGAAGATGGGCTACAGGAGCCAGAGTGGGAGAATCCTCTGCCTTGCCAATCGCGCGTTCCTGGACACTTTGGAAGGCGACCTCTACCCGATCGAATCGCATTCTACAATCATTCGTCGGGTCTGCAAGTCCGCACTTCAGGCGGAAAGCCTCTCCTTACCACTCGGAGTGGCTGAAGTGAGCACGCTCGAGCTGTGCTCCACGGCCTCTACGAGGAGACTGGAAAGCTGAACTCTGTAGAGTGGATTGTGGCCTCCCAGGACAGGACACCTTTGCTGTGGGGTACCGACTGCAAGAGCCTGCAGGAGAACCTTATGAGCCAGCCATTGACCTCCGCTCACAAAGTCAAGAGCTGTGGCGTGAAGATGGACAGGTGGTCGGAGACCCTTGGTTCAAGGATTTCCCGCCGGAGTCAACAAAGACACGAATTCTCGGGACAAGTAAAGATAGGATGCTGGCGGATGCGTTAACTCAACGCATCACGGAACATGGTCCGGTAGAGGACCTAATGCACGGCAAGACCGTGAATTTTGATGCCAACATCAGAGCAGAAAACTCACAGGGGTGTGAAACTAGATCTTTCTGACTGAAGCCTCTGGTCTGCTGCGGCATTGAGACGGAACCTTTGCACTGCCAACCGACATGGCTCTAGCACTGCGCGAAAACAGGAACTTGTTTCGCAACATGTTCAGCCTGCCATTGTTCTCAGAAAATCGTGGAAAGGATGCATTCATCACTTGCTGCCGAAAGTGCTACAGGTGTGATTCACAGATGGGCTGGCTACTGGCTACTAGACGATGGGGATAAGCCGACTTTGCATCAGTCTTCGGTCATGCTCAATGTGTGGGCGGTCCATGGTTTTGGTCGAGACTTGGTCGAAAACGAACGCGTTCAGCTCGCACCCGCAAGAGGTGCTGATGGTGGCAATCAAGCTTCGGAGCATTTTTGTACGTCCTTTTGTGCACGCGCAGATTATTGTGCATTTGAACTCCATTTCGTGGGTCAGGCACCAGTCAATGAGGATGCGGTGGAGGCAGGCTTGGATCAAGAGTCGGCTGGTTCCGCGAGAAGCCGGATTTCGGTTTACCCGAGGTTCTGGCGTACGCCAGCGAGCTTGTGGTGGCTACAGGGCAGAGGCTGCGAGAGGTGTCGTGGGTTTTCAGGGCTTGAGTGGGCCAAATCGGACAGGATTTGATGTTGCTTTGGAGATGTGTGGATGAATACGATTCTTCGTGGTTTGGCTCGCAACATTTGGACATGTGGACAAAGCAAACTAAGATGTTGACCCGGAAAGAGAAGTGATGACATTGATAAGGGTTGCGCACAAGCAGCGCTCTGTCATGGGGCATGAGACGTGCACAAAGGAGCGTGAATTCGTGAAGGTAGCAGCTCGTAGCCAGTTGTACCAACCGCCAAAATTACAATTGGAAGCGGTCGCATGGACGCCGCGGTTCCAGAATGATCCGATACACGGAGTCTCGGCGCAATGCTTTGTCAAGGACCATCTTGCGGGCATTTAGCTTAGTTCTTTCTGTATCATTTACACTGGAAGCTCCAGTTGCATGGTGATGTCCATGTTTTGGTGGGTGGCTTGCCTATAGGACTGTTTGCATTCATCATGCGGACATCTTCATCCAAGGAAGGAGTGCACTTGCTCTTCAAGCTGAAGGGCTCCGTCATTCCTGCAGAAAATCGGCTGCATAATTATTGATTGTGGCATCCTGCCCATGCAATGCTTGCAAACCTGCTTCCTTCCCCTCTGAGCGGAATTGTGTGAATATCTGACTGAAGCATTCTTAGTAGGGATAGCATCAATCACCCACTTTTGAAGCAGAAAGTGCTCGTATCGTCTGGCTTGGTTGGTACGAAAATATGCGCACGGAATTTGCGAAGCGTTTAATTTCTTTGTGGTGGGAAACCTAGAGCTTTCAGACTGATTGCATGTGTTGTAGACGTGTCCAGCATCAACGACCGGAGTGTCTCATGAACCGATGGTAAAGCTGCTTTTGGCATGCTCATGCATGCTCAAGCTCGGCAGTGCATCAGAATCTCGGCGTGCATCAGATTCAAACGGAAACACGTCTGGTTCTTCTGATTTTTCCTCCGAAGCACCTTCGTCCTCGGCTGGCACGCCGTGTTTCGGCTTCAATGTGCCAGATCCGTCAAGGCCACTGCTTTCGTGCTTCCAGAGCACATGCATCTTGCATGCTCAGTTCCACAGCCAGAGAAGATCCGTTTGGTTGACTACTGGGTGAAGTCTCATCGATCCGGAACCGGAAACAAGAATCTGCGTTGATGGTGAGTGCGTTGATGTCAACCGGTCGAGCCTGATTGTTGCATACAAGGTTACCGGTTAACACTGGTCATTCTGTCACTGTGTAAAGCCGGGCTTTGTCCTTGGCCCTGGAAGCAGGTCCTCTGCAGCCTAGAACATCACTTGAGGATCTCACTGCCGGAATATCTCTCTGCGTTAGCAGGATCCTTGTGTAGTTCCTTGCTTTTTGATTCCGTTCGATGCCGAGGCAGTGCTTTTTTCGCTGCCCTCGGTCATCCTAGCGATTCTGTTGATCGTCTTTCAGCAGAATGCCGAAGACGAGTTCACCTCGATAAACACCACAGTGAAGCCCTCAGGGAGCCAGCGCGCTAGGGCCACAGATGAGCCTGCGACGTCTCTGTTCCCAGGGCGACCTGAGCAAGAGCCAGGCCTAGTCGAGAAAGGGGTTCCTCTGGGGGAGGACAGGAGCGTCTCTGGTTTTGTCTGAAATAAACGCAAAGGGCAGTATGAATCATGTTGAGTGTGGCCTCTGATCCGGGTAAGTGGGAATTACTTGGAGGTCACCTTGAACTTGGCTTGGCGTCTCGTAGGGAAAGCAAGCTAGGCACTGCGATGCCACAATTACATTTACAGCATGGCACGGTAACATACGGTGACCCTCCCCAGGGCTTCTGAGTATATCTGAGGTGTGGGATAACCCAAGCAAGCAGCCGGAAAGGTGTGGAGCGCCATGACGGTGACGCTTACCACGCTCATTAGCTTTCGTACCAGACAAGCTCTTGGGCGCTTCTGGGCATCTTGGCTGCCTTGAGCTTAGCTTTTGGCCTCAATTTTGATTGCCTGACCTTGCCAAGGAAGGCACCGGCTTGATGCACCAAATGCGAGGCATGGCATGGCCCTAGACGCTTGGCTGATCACCGCTCCGGACCATGGCGAGGTGAATGGTTCGACTCCGTTAGCTGCCTTCTTTCCTTTTCGAGGCAGGCATGCGTGACATGTGTGGTCTCACCATTGCATGCCTGCTCTTGTGAATACGCATACCTGTCCCGCAAATCCGGTGCAGTTTAGGTTATCACACAGATTTTGTTTTTGGACTGGCGGTTTCAGCTTCGATGTGCACTTTCCAGGCACGCTCTGTCTACGAAACCTGAGGACCGGGATTCAGGGAAGCCAGTCCCGGACACCTTGACTTCGAAGCTCAAGCAGGAACAGGATGTAAGTTCGGCCAACCTCTGCCACAATGCTTCTGCATGTCTCCCTAAATACAGGAAGGATGACTCACGAACTTCGCAATGCTTTGTCCCGAAGCACACTACAGCTGGTCAGGGAGTGAACCTTCTGAGGTTCTGAGCTCAGGGTGAGCGCAGCGGCGTAGCCGCATAGCATGGTTTTGGTTGGGCCTTTTGATTTTGCTGGTGTTGGCGAGGAAGACACATTTTGTTTCGCAATGCTTTGTCCCGAAGCCTGCCTGCGCGCGCTGGTGAGGGATTCACAGAACACCTTCTGAGTCTGAGCCGGTTGATTTATCGTGTTGCAGCCTTTGGCAGCAAGTGTGCAGCAAGGATGACAAACGACTTCGCAATGCTTTGTCCCGAAGCATACTACAGCTGGTGAGGGAGTGAACCTTCTGAGGTTCTGAGCTCAGGGTGGGCATAGCCGCACAGCATGGTTTTGGTTGGGCCGTTTGATTTTGCCGGTGTTCGCGAGGAAGACACGTTTGTTTCGCAATGCTTTGTCCCGAAGCCTGCCTGTGCGCGCTGGTGAGGGATTCACAGAACACCTTCTGAGTCTGAGCTATTTGATTTCTCGTGTTGGTTGCATTCTTTGGCAGCAAGTGTCCAGCAAGGATGACACACGACTTCGCAATGCTTTGTCCCGAAGCATGCTGCAGCTGGTGAGGGAGTGAACCTTCTGAGGTTCTGAGCTTAGGCGTGGCATAGCCGCACAGCATGGTTTTGGTTGGGCCTTTTGATTTTGCCGGTGTTGGCGAGGAAGACACATTTTGTTTCGCAATGCTTTGTCCCGAAGCCTGCCTGTGCGCGCTGGTGAGGGATTCACAGAGCACCTTCTGAGTCTGAGCCAGTTGATTTATCGTGTTGCAGCCTTTG